CGCACCCCACGAGACTGGCACAAGGGAGCTGAGCTCGTGCCGCCAGCTCGGACTGGAGCCGCCCGCGCCCGGCGCTGACGAGATGGACAGACGGGAGCTGAGCTCGTGCCGCCAGCTCGGACTGGAGCCGCCCGCGCCCGGCTCTGACGAGACGGGCAGGCGGGAGCCGGGCTCGTGCCGCCAGCTCGGACTGGAGCCGCCCGCGCCCGACGCTGACGAGACGGGCGGGCGGGAGCTGAGCTCGTGCCGCCAGCTCGGAGTGGAGCCGCCCGCGCCCGACGCTGACGAGACGGGCAGGCGGGAGCCGGGCTCGTGCCGCCAGCTCGGACTGGAGCCGCCCGCACCCGGCGCTGACGAGACGGGCAGGCGGGAGCCGGGCTCGTGCCCCAAGCTCGGACTGGAGCCGCCCGCACCCGGCGCTGACGAGACGGGCGGGCGGGAGCCGGGCTCGTGCTCCAAGCTCGGACTGGAGCCGCCCGCGGCGCGGCGCCACACAACGCGAGCAGAGAACAGTGTGTGCCGACGTATGCCCCTCGCTCGCTTAGATGAGAGCATTGTGTGAAGGCTAATCACGTGCAGGCCGCTAAAACATAAACTTTACTCATTTTCCATTTTTTAATTCATTTTTGGGTTTGGGCTCATGGTTGACGGGAGTAAAATACAAAATTCAGAGCACCAGTTGAGAGAACGTTTAGCCAATATATATAGTGTATATATCCAATGGTTTTAAACATTAAGAAAAAATCCCGACCTGGGTACGACATCCTGAAGCTGGCCCTAAACTGCACGACCATTCTCTCCCTACAGCCACGCGGAACAACGTTGCGACAATCACGTCATGCCGCGTGATTAAGTTCTAAAGAGCACATTTATCTCACTTGCGGCTGCCCGATATTAAGTTGCGACAGCCATGCTATGCGACATGATTTGGGTTAAAATGGCACAACCTTGCTCTCACCAACAGCTGCGCCGCACCATGCTGCGGCAGCGGCACTCAGCGATATGTAATGTCTTAACACTATGGTGAGCCCTTTTCACATTTTTTGCCTGCGTTATTCGATTTCTCGGCATCAATATACGATGACGTTGAAATTTGAAAAGCTGAATTTGAAATAGACGTTAAGTGCCGGAAAAGTGTATGCCAAAGCCGTCGAAAACATAGAGGACGTGCCGGCTTTTTGAAAATTTAACGTCTGCCTTACTTAGGTTTAATTTTGATTTCGGATCGCTTTCTGATGCCATTTCCGGCATCTGAAGTCTAAAGTATCAAGCCTCCATTCCCAAGGCCCAATTTTGATACTATTGTTTATACAGAAGCGTCTGACTTTGAAACAATTTGAGATTCATTTCACGGCAACTACTTCCAATTAGCCCATAACATATTTAATCTTAAACCTTCAAAATAAGATCATCGAACTTATGAGAATGGGAGTTCTGGTACCGAAAGTAACCCACTTCCTTCACCGACCAGCAAATCCGACCGACCGACCTTCACTATCTAAGAGGGTACTGGTTACAAGACACAACTTTTCAGCACGCATTGGTTACATTGAGAAAACTAAAAAACCTTGGAACGACGACAATTTTCAGTACGTATTGGTTACATTGAGAAAACTGAAAAGCCTAACATTCGTGCTCCCTGCGGGCACAGCCGGAACCATGTAATGGAGCACAGCGCAATAATACCAAGTTATAACTGGAACTTTCAGCAACAGAAAAACGGGGCAGATCCTGATATCAGAATATCCCCGCATTCGTGATCCTAGCACGAAGGAAACAAATAATATCTGAAAAACGGCGCCTTGATGACGTCAAACGCTGTTAAGTTATTTACGTACGGCGATTTTTTTAAGCCGTGATGAGCACTGAAACCCGCTGGCAAGTTCGCTGCTTTTCTTATGCTTGTAACGCTTCGTTGATTACGCGTTACATGCTCAGTGCAGGCCATCAAAACATTCATGTTTGATCGCCTGCGTTCCGGACCGCTATCAGCACAGCATCAAACATAGGATGCCACGAAGTGAGGGCCCGAATGGCTGGAATGTTCGTGACGCCCATGTTTTAGCATGTGGGATCTCAACTGATTGATCATGACGTTTTTGGGCAATGTCTTCATCAATTCGCAACTTTTCAATATTTCGAGCCCAAAACCTTTCGCCCACTAGGGTACCGATCTGACCCGTGCTTACGTCCCCTGCCGTGCAGAAGCGAGCCCCGAGGGTTTTCCCCGCTAGCCGGACCGCAGCGTCGCTCCCACGAGCCAGCGCAGCGCCGCCCGCCCGCCTGTCCCCGCCCCACCAGGCCGCGCGTCTACTCACGAAGACGATGTCCAGTCCTGGCGCCAGGTGATCGGGCAGCGTCAGCTTGGAGAGCTCCTCGGGAGTCAGGCCGTTGAAGCGATCCTGCTTCTTGCGCGGCCGGTTGGGGTCGGTCGAGCGCACGGGCGTCTTGTACTTGGGCACCTCCATGCCGGCCGCCGCCCTGCAGCCCGGTCGGCGAATAGTGCCCGCTCAGAGCAGGCGGTGTGCAGCCGGGAGGGACGGCGGCAGAGGAAGGGGGAGAGAGGGCGGAGGCGGGGGGGGGGGGGGGGGGGGGCGGCAGAGCGAGAGCAGACAACAATGGCGCTCGTGATGCTAGTCGACACCGGCCAGGCAGTGGCGCTCACACGGCTCGCCGACGCCGGAACCAACGGAAGTTCCGCGAACGGGTCGAGCCGGATGTCCCGACAGCAGCCGGTTACACCACCGGTCGGGACACGGCGGTCCCGACCCAGTAACCATCGCATAGTCAGCACACAGTAATAACTACAACACAGACAGTCCAAAACAGGAATACAAATCCTTCCACAATGTGAGCCACGACTCAGCAGCCTCCAATACGGAGGTAAAACAATGCCATGACAACATGAAGCTGTGCGCAGCCCCCGGCACGTGTCGAAACTTCACCCGCGCCAAGTACAACGCCTCGCAACAGAGAAGCCCACACAGCACACGCGGCACTCACATCGCCTCCAGCAGCTTCTTGGGCTTGCGGCCGCGCTTCTTCGGGAACTGGAACGGCAGCAGCGGCGGGCCCGGGCCATGGGCCGGGGCCGGGCGCCTCTGCCGCCGGCGGGCCGCCGCCCGACTCCGAGAAGTCGTCCACGAAGCTGTACGGGTCGTCGGGCTTCTGGTACCGGGCCGCCTCGCCGCCGGGCCGGCTGCCGTACGGACCGGCGGCGGCCGCGGCGTACTCGCCGCCCAGCCGGTAAGGCGGGCCATAGCCGGGCATCACGCCGCCGCCGCCGCCGTCGTACGCGCCTGTGCCGTACTCGGCGTGGGCACCGTAGAAGTCGGCGGCGGCCGGCGCGGTGGCGGCGGCGCCCGTCGCGGCCGGCCGCTCCTCCTCCGGCCTGCCGGACGGCGGGGCAGGATCAGCAACGCTCCGGCGACGCCACGTGTAGGGGAGGGAGATGGGATGGGGAACAAGAAGCGAATGTGCGGCACGGTCTGAAATACTTCACACGCTTCTCGCTAGTCGACGATTTTGAGAGAATTCTTGCATCGCAAAATCCCGTGATATGTCTAGCACATGTACCTGGCCGCACACAAGCTTGTTGCCGACACAACCGACACAAGTAATCAATCCTGCCGCTGCCGACATGCCGAAATGTTTTTTTTTTCTAGCCCTTATTGCGCATTTCAGCTATCGAAAGTTAACACTGATCGACACAGGGCGGTTGCTGGCACAGACCGGGCAGGCCAGGCCTGAACCTGAACGAATTGTTCTAAATGGAGCCAGACAACAGCACTGTCTCTGGATCCGAAAACACATCAGCGATGCAGGACAATGATTGATGCGCCGAAACTGCGAAGCGTCCCAAACTCGCGTCATCTCGCTGAGAAAAGACCATCAGAAGGCCGGCGCCCAAACACAGGTTGTAAAATGTCGCCAGACTGCGAAGCCAGGCTCGTATAGGGAAATAAGCGCACGATGCCTTATAACAAGACGATGTTCGTGTTGATCCAGATGGAGTGGGCCTTACCAGCTGAGCCTTCCCACAGCATTCCCAGCCAAAACTTGTAAAACAGTCGCACGTGCAGCGGCCCCACGCGCAAGCAAGAACAGGCCAAGGCAAGACCAATGTGCGCTCTCCGAACAGCGCAGGCCCGATAATGGCCGCGTGTGCACGAGATCGCGGTTGCCGGTGCCGCCGCAGCTCCGATGCACTGCCCGATTCAGGGGGGGGGGGGGGGGTTCGCCATTGCATCCAACACATGCCCACAGCGGAGGCGTCATGCTCAGGTCAAAGCCAGGACAAAACACAGCTTGAGTCGCTCAGGTCGTCTCCCGAGCGGCGCTCGTGAGCGCAATCGACTCTGAACGCCATCAACCGGGCGGCTCCCACACGAACGGACTCTAGCAGGACCGCGAGGAGAGCCTGCGATGTAAACACAGGTTCGAGTAGCGTACCAGCCCCTGCGCACCAGCCTCTCCCTCAAGCTCGTCAAGTAAGCGCCCCGCTGCCCGCCGGCCGGCCACGCGGCTACCCGAACGCCTGCCGAACCGACAGCTGACGGCCGGAGGTAAGAGGTCCCCCTCTGGTCGCTGGTGGCCCACGGTCCCGCCGTGTGACCGTCGCTGCCGTCACGGATCGCAAGGTACGGAGGCATGCTGCCCCCTCCCCCCCCCCCACCCCCACTGCGCACCGGCGGCCGTTTCCACGGTCCGAAGGGGGATCGCGGGGGGGGGGGGGGGGGCGTGGACGGCCGTGTATCCGGCGCGGAGGCGTGACGCCTGAGCGCCGGTGGGTGGCGCCCCGCCCTGTCGCGGCCCGCGCGGCTGCAGCCACGCTGTGCAGTGCGGCTGGGCTCTGCACTCGTACCCGGCCTCCGGTAGCGTTTCGTGTTCAGCACTGGTTAACGGAAAAGCCCATAACACCGAACTCATGATCGAGTTTGCAGGCATTTTACGATGCACGCGTCGATTATCTGGCGACAGTGAACCGGATGTCCAGCTCTGTCATGTGTCAGAAACCGCTACCAATGCGGCACACGATACAGATCAGAACCATCCATCAAGTGGATTTATGGAATTATTCTACATTTCCTTCACATTGTTTGGGTTACACTATCCATCGCACCATGAGGTTATTTCTCAACTTGACTCTGTGAGGCTCTCCTCTCTCTCTCTCTCTCGCTCTCTCTCCTATCTCTCTCTCCTCTCCTCTCTCTCGCTCTCGCTCTCGCTCTCGCTCTCGCTCTCGCTCTCGCTCTCGCCTCTCGCTCTCGCTTATCGCTCTCGCTCTCCTCGCTCTCGCTCTCCCTCCTCCCGCCTCCCCCTCTCCCCCCTCTCTCTCATCTCTCTCTCTCTCTCTCTCTCTCTCGATCTACCTCCCTCCGTCGTCTCTTCCCTCTCTCGCTCTCTCTCTCTCTCTCTCTCTCTCTCTCGAACCGCGTGCGGGCTCATGTACAGGCGCTTTCATCTCCGTAGGGAGCTCTCAACGCCACGCCGGCAAAGCACTTCCGCAAGGATAGCGTCGCCGGCGCAACGCGCCACCGCTCTCCCAGGCTTGTTCCGTCGTTACGCTTTGACGTCACGCTAATGGCAAGCCTGACTATAGAATGTCCCGCTCAGATATATTCCCAGCTGCAGCGGCGAAACCCGGCTCTTTGATTGATGATTACTGCCTTCAAGCGTGCCGTCTACGGCCGGGCCGCGCCCGGAGACCAAGCTCCCGACCTGTACTGCACCGCATTTCGTAAAAGTCACAACCCTTCTCCGACCCCCCCCCCCCCCCCCCCCACACACACACAAAGCTCGCGCTCAGCGGCAGAACGACTACGCATTCGCCCCATTCCGTGGGGCGCTTGCTATAAAGATGAGTATGTTCCTGCGTCAACACAAAACCCTGTCGTCACCGCGCTCCGCTCCACTACGCCACGTGCTTCACCGAGCGTCCGAGCGCTAACCGCACGAATATTTCGAACGTCGGATTCTGCATGCCGCGACTATGGCGTCGCCGCGCAGCACCGACCGGACTGTCGCGTACTCACTGCTGTGTCTCCCCGGCCGGCTTCTCGGCGACTGTTTCCGCATCCCCCATACCTCCGGCGGCCGACGATCTGCAACGACAACGGAACCGGTGCAGGGGAGTGCTTGACGCATGCCGACTGCGGCCTCGAAACAGCGCACAACAGCCGGTCCGAGCCCCCGGGCGATCCTAACAGTCTTATACAAAACGGAATTTTGAGCTTGGCTTCCTCTGAATTGCGGCACACAAGGTGCAAGTGTGCACGAGGAGGGGAGAAATTCGTTCTACATCTGAAAATTAGCACGATGGTACATGATGATTCATGGTCCATAGTACACATTTTAGGCCCGAGAAAGGCACTGGACTCCCAGCAGAGGGAGTATCAGCAGCAGCCACAGAAAACATACATACATACACACAGATATATATATATATATATATATATATATATATATATATACATATACATATATAAACACCTGGTGAGCCTGACAGTGGTGCTTAGTATAATATAGGGCATGTTGGCTATTTGCATCATTTTGTGCGTTTTGATCATGCAGTTGCTTCAAGTACTTACATTGTTAAGTCTATTTATCTCTCCAATCTCTTGTTTATTCAATGAGGAATATTGACATTAATGCTGTCTCATCTATATGACCTATAATGACTTATATGACCTGTACTCAGCTAGAACTATTTAGCTGGGTACATCACATGGAGTCTGGCAGCAAAATGGTAGTAACGCCAGGCATATCAAGTTCTAGATATTCACATACATCAAGAAAGTGAGCTTCTGGCACTCTTGTTCACTCCTTATGATGAGAAAGTGAGGTACAATCTATTTTTTTCACTCAGGCCAAAGGGCCAAGCCAACCCCTTGTGGAGGGACCAAGAGTGGTCAAGTTTGTGTTGTGGTATTCCATAGGCTTTCATTTTTAGCTTCAGTGCAAGGGCGTCCACCCACCAAACTGGGGCCCAATAAAGGGCTGGCACGCTGGCGATCTACTCTGTCACAAGGGCCTGCCCACGCACCATATGTGGGCCAGTGTGCCGCCAGGCATAAGCGTGCTAGAGGCAATGCTCCTCTGGGAGGGCTAGGACACTACCCAATGTCTAGGTGTTTAGGCAGGCACCAAACAGGGCAGCTCTCCTGGACACACGTCGCGTGACCTGCTTGGCTCCAGGCCAGTGCCGCAGAAATGTGATGCCTGACCAGCCGGTTTCCTGGCGTGAAGTCACCATGTGGAATTTGCAGAATCACACATTTGGACCAAACACATGTGTTGGGAGGCTGCCCCAAATGCCCTGCAGGACAGCCACTCAATGATGAAGATCCCCACATTACTAGCTGTGGATACAATGGGGCAAGGTGCAAATAAAACTAGAGAGCTGGGACCAAGGGGCACTATTCTCAATTCTGGCTGCACTCATAGCCTTAGTGATCTCCACCCCAGGACAACTCTTTCCATGGAATAACATCCAGATACAGACTTTCACTAGAGACATTGGGGACACAGATGGGTTTTGCCAGCCTACTATCTTCATGCCATTATTCTCTAAACCCAAAATTATAGTTGCAAGGTGCAGGAGTGCAGCTACATGACCTTGAGCAATGGTTTCATCTATGATAGCATTGCAGGCAGGCATTGTCTTCATACACACACCAACCTGTAGCATTGATATTTCTCATTCATGGGTTTATCTGGAGGTTACTGTAACTGCCAGGCACAGTGACCTCCAGACCACATATTACCAGGACCTAAGCTGTGCCACCTTACAGAAATGTTACACATGCCTGGAACATACACACTATGGATACCACATTCCATTTCTCAGGACAAGGATGATACAGAGGGGAGACCATGGGGCAAGTCCCCTCTCCCCTGACCCCCTGAGTTTACACCACATAGTTCAAAAGATCTATCGCTATGCTTACAAGTGCAGCATACTTTGGCAATTTCATTGGTTTTTACGATGTCATGTTAGAGCCCTGTCAGTTGTATGCCTCTAATGTCCATCACATGCTTCCACAGTGGGCATTTTGCAATGTGGTAAGCTGCTGACTTCTCGGCTTTGGGCACATACCTTTTTACTTGGCATGACCAGATTCCACAAGTAAATAATATGCAGATCTAGCCTGCACATTACACATATGCACATTACCCCTGTAACAGGTCACCTGGCATCTGAGCAGCAGAGATTCTAGCTGCAAAATATCTCTGCAAGATATCTAGCTGCGAGATATTCTCTGAGCAGCAGATAAACACAGCTCTGACATCACTTTTGTCATCCATGGCAAGCCATCTATCCCCTTTTGAGGGGATAGATGGCTTGATAACACCATTGATGAGAGGGCATTATAACTCTTCAGTTCTAAACAGGTTTATAATTGCTTTAAGTGATTTCTGCCTTAATTTGCATCACATTTCTTGGCCAATGTGACATGAAACCTTTTTCCTAGTTATTTCTACCCTTGATAGTGCTTAAGAGAAATATGAGGGTGGGGTGGATGTTGCCTCCAATCCTATACAACACATGATATATTCACCAACAGGAGAAGTTTTAGGGATGGGGCTGGCATTGCAACAAGCAAACACATTGGAATCCATGTAATGGACATCTTACACATCATCAAGTGTGATTCTCAAGCATCCTCCTCCCCCACCTGGAGCCAACAAGCACCTTATGCAAGCACTCTAACCAGACAATCCACATTGTTTACATTGCATGGCAAGTTAAGTCAATCAAATTGCTGAAAACTATTCTAACAATTGACAGACAGCATATCAATTCAGCAGGCAGTGATCAAAATTTAAGAAAACATGCATATTCAAACATATATAATACATGTGTTAACCAGCTATCTCATACTGATCATGTGATAAATTCTGCTAAAAATTAATTGCTGGCTTTTATGTGATAAAGCCCAACCACTGATAGCATTGTGGAGAAATTTCCACATGAGTCAGTCAGCTTCTGTTCTACTAGCCTAGCTATATGCACCATATCCTAGCACTCCTAGTAGTGCTAGGATATGTGGCACACCCAGTTCAAGACATCATGTAGTCTAGAAATAATACAACAAAAACTATCAAAGTGCTATTGTGTGGTTGTTGACATGGTAGCAGACTGGCACATTGGCAGTTTGACTTGAATAATAACCAGATGATTGGTTAGGTAGCTAGCTGTCAATGGCTGCGGTACAAAATGCAAAAATACCAAAAAGTACAAAACAAACTGCACCTTTATATGTATCTAGGGCAGTGTATGATGCCAGTTAAGCTTCAGTTGTTTGCACTTCTCGCTTGAAAAGCTGGATAAAAATACCTCAATATAGCATCAATAAATGTCTGAAAAATGCTGTTAAGCAAGGTATAGAAGTTGGCATGTATATAGATACTCCCACAGCATGCTTAGCTATCCAATGTTTTCCTGCAAGGTAATACAAACATTGTGGTCATGCAGCAGTCCTCCCAGACATGGCGACTCAATGTGCAAATCACTCCATCGAATAACGCGTTGCCAGTGCCCTCTCCCAACAACTGGTACGGTGCACTCGTGCCGCCAGAAACTCACCCTCCAAACCGTTGTTTACCCAACACCCGGAGCGTTTGGGGGGGTTTAACGTCTTCGCCTATTCCAGGGAAATAGCGTGAACAACCGCATTTCGATCTAGTTTAATCGCACCACATCCACTCCCAACTATAAGCACACATTCGCAGCTCCCCTCGACCCACACCACCTTCCCCATTCCCGCGGCTCCCGTCCCAGCTAGCGCTGAATCGATTCGCACGCCGAAAATGGACGAGCTCATTCCGGAGAGCGAGGGGAGGCATCGTAAGCGGACAGAGCACGCGCCATGGCAGCCGAGGTCAATAACGCAAGCTGACAACGGTGAGCCGTTGGCTTCGAAACGAAGGACGGTTTTTCGTTTTCAATCTAAAAATTTCGACGGTTCCAGTAACACAAAAAATAAATGAGGCAAAACTGTTAAGAAACGTACAAACATAGCATGGACCCACAAAAATGCTTACAAAAATGGATCACAGGCATGACTTATGACTTCCACTGGGCGCAAGAGTATCATCGGCCAATTTCATCCGAATGACACACGGCATGAGCGCATGTCCGATGGGACAGGGGTATGGCCGGGAGTCCCGGTCTGGATCAGGATTGGACAGGACCACAAAACAAACTTAACGCCTCTTCCCTCCTAGTCCTTGCAGTTTTATGTTTTGACTTTTACGGTACGCCTTTACAATCCACGCTCTGTTACAGACATTGGGCGCGTCACGTTCGTAGCAGACTTAACAGTAATTTCAGACCCGACCTTGAGTTAATTTGCCCTGAGGCCGTATGGCGCCGCGTTGCCACCAGGGGCACCGTTGATGCCCTTTGCCGGCTTAGATGGCGCTACCATCGCCCCAATCGCTGATAGGTGGCGGGTTGTTCGTGGCGCCATCCATGCAGATGACGCTACGGTCTGCGCGAGCCCCCACGGTCGTCGGATGCTGGGCAGAGGACGGTGAGCCGCGAGCCCCAGCGCTGGCTTGATCTCACTGCCACCCCAGGAGCGGCTTACACCGAGCCGGCATACCGCTCCTGGTCAACCCACGCCCCCATAGACCGCCCAAGGCTGCGTAACCGCGTGTTGGGCACGTCCAGATCCTACGATGTCGATCCTACCCCCAAAGACATTAGCACGTTCCCCGCACCACCTTCACCCCTTGCGCCAGATGGCCCACCACGTCGTAGATCCGTACAAGTCCACGAGCGGCACACACTCGGGCAGCCATGTCCTTAACCGACACGTGTATGAAATGGAAACGGGCGATGCTGAGTAAAATTACTCGCTCGCCCGGCATGAACAGGCCGTAGCATCCGCAAACCGCCGCCTCTTCCAACAAAATTTGTCATCGACGCACTCACTAGGCCCTCTGGTCGACCATGGTCGCATCTGAAACAAGGTTTGGGAAGCACATGTTGTTCTCGCCTTGGCATCCTTTCCAAACAGGCATTAAGAACACATTTCAACAAGCCTTCGCCCCAACCACGCGCACAAAGCGTGCCGCCTGCGACGGACACGTGCGCATGAGGAAACAGGACGACCATTAGCACAGACTGCATGTGGAGTACACTAAAAACATTGCCAGCATAAAACGGGCTACGTCGGTAGATTACAATGGCTTCAACGAAGGAATCGTGACTCGAAAAGGTGCTAAGACTATGCTCTGAAAGGAGAATGTTTGTTTGATGGCACATTGCAGCGGCGTGTGTTATGGAAGTTTAATAAACACTGTTCAGACTTAAACAGCTTATCATTACCGTCACTTAATGTCATTTATTACCGATCGCCCATGAAAGAATGCAACTTGACCTAAAGTAAGTTGTTGGACCTAAAATAAGTATTCCTCTCAACACCATTTCTAGACATTCCGCATTTTGGTACATGTCGCCATGGTCCTGTTACATTAACGACTGAACATCACATGAGCAAATCACGATATTACTGTACAGGCAAAAGGCGATCTTTCCAAGCCGATGGAAAATTTCACATGGGGTTCTACATATGACCAATATCAAACAATGAAATACAGGTCGCAACTCACAAGTCAGAGGCCTTACAAGTGTGGGTCAACATGCAACATGCTACGTGGATGCAATGTAGTATCCGCCCAATGTTCCACAATTGAACCAACACATTTCAAGCGCCTAACACCATGCAGAACAGTACATATGACGCATCTACAGCCACCACAACCAGTACCTTATCACTGCGACGTTATATCAAGACGCACGCAGATTGTTTACCTGGTGTGAAGTAGACGTCACAAACTTCCCACAAGCGGTTCGAGTCAAGGCCTGGCCTACACACCCCAGTACCCTTCGCGCGCTGCTGCACCTCACAGAGGTGCGTCGGCGGTGGAGGAGGGCCACGAGATCCGGGACAGAACGTAGTAGAAGAGCACAAAGACGGCCACCACTCCCCCAGCCGTGTAGCACATCACACGCCGGTTCCCCCGGCCTGAGGACATCATCTTCTTCATGCGGTTCGCGCTCCCACCCAGGAAGCTCTCCGTGGAGTCGAAGTCGCCGCCCATGGAGTCCAACAGGCTATTGTGCTCTCTTGTGTCCATGTCAATGTCAAAGGCCAGCTGGGAAAAAGGAAGGTGCTAAAACTCTAAAAACATAAAGAACACAGCCTAAACAAGTGTCATCATATTCAAGTGATGAGTAGAAAGTTTGCTTAGGCAAAAAGGTGAGTAATTTACAAAAAATGTTGTGTGGGAGCAAGTAAAAAAAGGACACATGTCCAAACCGTTGTCACTGATTTTTGAACAGCGTACTGTCATTGATCATCAACAAAGCTTATGCTGCCACATTAAGTCCTTTTCACGCCTTAACAGTAGCAAAAATAAAGAGTACAACAAAAATAAAGTGCATAAGATGTGCAAAGCTCACCGATTTCAGTCGAGAGACTTTTGAACCCAGCTGGTCAGTCAGTGCCCGATTTTCGTAGTCCATGGCTTTTTCTTTTCCATTCATCTCTGGAGGGAGTGTTAGCTCCGGTTGTACTTCTTCCCTCTGCAGCCTGCAATAATGTTAGCCATGGGTGGCACAGGGTTCAGAATACATACAAAACTGTTTTTTCTCTCTGACACCCACAACATCCAGGAAGCATCACCCCAGTTCAACAAATAATTTTGTATTGTGCTTCTGGGCCATGGGAGGACTGGGCTGTGGAAGGATGTTGCTTATGCCACATTATGTTGTGATATGCATGACAATCCTGCATTAGGATGACTACTTGTCTACTTGTCATTTGACTGCCACCCAAACATTTTTCACACATTATTTATGAATGCAATGGGCCCAAATTTTGTGTGGTCACACATGTTAGCAGCATTGCCAATTAAAAGGCAAGGCTATTTATGGATGATGTTAAGTATGGTGGGGAATTCAATGGCTTTCTATGGTGATAACTGCTGCATGTGCATCTGTCTATTTGCTTGCAAGGCATTCTCATTGCACTGCCTCACATCTAATATCTCATACCCACATGGGTTGCCAATTACATGTGCCTAGATTCCTAGCTTAGAGCTGTATTCAAACCTAGCTCCAGGCCTCTATTTGAGGCAGAGGCCAACAAATGTCATTGGGTGACACTCCATTTGAAGCTGTAGGCCTGGGATAATGGGATAATCCAAACTCATCTCTAAGAGGCCAGAGGAGGCAAATCTTTTCATGGGGAGGATAACCTTGACAAGCTGACAGCTATAGGGCCAGTCCATCTGTTTTATCCTGCTGATTTGACTGTGATCCCAACAGGAAAGCCACTGCTGGCAGGCCTGGTGATACTGTCATGGGCTTGATAGAGTATCAAACTGACCCATCTAGGGCAGCTTCTTGGTTGGTTGGTTATTAGGGCTTTAGAGCACCTCAACTGCATGGTCATAGTGTCTATAGGGCATATTCTGCTAATACAGCTGGGGATGGGATGTAGCCAGAGGGTTCATGTGGGTCATGGGAGAATTTAACCAATCCCAGAACATGGTGTCTCCCTGATTAAGAATAATGGCAGGGTGAGCCACAATTTTATAGAAGTTTTGCTCCTCATTTAGAAACAAACTTAGTTTATTTTTGGTCCAAACCTGTACCTACCACACTTATTTAGGCCACCTTTTGCAGAGTGACCCAAGGTACCCACCTCAACCTGAGCTTCATGCTTGCATGCAGCAATCATGGGCCAGGATAAATTCCAGTTAAGGTTTTTAATAACTTTTAGAAGAAAAAAAATGTTTTACTTGCATTTATCTACAACTGCCATCTTGAAATCACAATTGGATGAAGTGTAAGCTCCATACACTAAATTGATGGAGATCATGCATGTAACTCTGACCACTAACATTTACAGTGTACATACAACACAAAGATGTTTTTGGCTCTGATGTCACTGCCATTCCAGACATGGTTCATAGTAAATGATTTTAATGCACTTTGGGGTATAACCACAAGTAACCAATCTCTGAGAGAAGGAATGGCAATTCAAAATTATGCTCACTCTTGAGTTTGAGAAGAAACATCCAGAAACTAATATTTAGCAATGGAAAACATAGAGAAGAAACAATGAGCCAGTAAAATCAGGAGAAATGTTATTTCACGAAAATTCAGACATCTCCCCACCCCATGAATAGTTGTACACATCGTATGCACACACACTCACTTAAGTGTTTGCTCTTCCTGAGTTCCTACGTTTTGTGGTCTGTTTATTCCAGCGCACTTTTTCACTTAAGCGCGTCGTCCTTGTTCCTTCACGACGCCTGTCCTTTTCGGTGAATTAAGCTGAAATACAGCAAGTGATGTCTATTATACTGTGTTATACTCCTCTCATCACAAGCTCTGGAACCGTGGATGGGGGTACGGTCTGGAAGTGGGGTCTTGTCAGTAGTCTGCCATTTACTTTCTTCCTGACGTGCACACTCCAGCGAATCTCTATGAGCACAGATTAAACCCATAGGTTCATTTTTGGTAAGTGCCAAATGCGTGGCGCGGAAGAGACAAAATAATTTTACCAGCCTTGGCCGCGTTTCATTTCAACTACTGTGTTATTGGTAGACGAACACAAGCCCCGCCCACTCGGATGCTAGGCTGTTTCATACCAGCTACTGACTACTGGAGAGCGTTACATTAGCTGCGCAGTTGTGACCATCAAATTCGGGAAGAAAAATAAGTTTGTGAGTGGGCGGCAGCGCGACCGCGGTCAAAAAGCTGTTAGATGAAGGTACAAGTAACGGAAAAGATCTTGTGTGCTTGTCATCCATACCTCAAAAACATACACGGGAATGGAAGCATTTACGTTTGACGAATTACAGAGAGAAATTGCCCCAGTGGCTCCATTAGGCGACGACTCACTTGAAGTCGTCCATTACCGCGATCTTGATGGGTGAGTTGCACCAGACATGATAAATGATAATGCTAGGGGTGCAGTTTCGGAAAATGCTTTCCCACTTAACATCAAACTTGGAGGATGGTGAAAATGAGGTCACTGAAGGCGTATATGCCGATGAAGAGATGCGACTGAGAGCTGGAGTACTGCGGGAGCATACAAATCCGGTACTCGTTGAACCATCCGCCGTCGTGGTGCGTAAAGAGCTAGTGGAAAGGCTTTGGGTGCTGTAGCAAGGCTGGTGGTGCTGCTGGATGATCACTGGCTGTGTTGCCGTGTCTATGGTATTTTCATTGTGGTGTTCGCTGTAGGTCAGCATGATGTAGATTTTGCAATGCTGTGGGGGTCTGAAGGGCAGTGAACAAAGTGTTTTTTGCTGGCAGGAAATACAACATTTTTGTGATCTATGTGCATTCCAAAAGTCCTTACGGCAGTGACTGAAACTGCTTCCAAGTGAAATGTTGCAATGAGAACAGGAGTCATCCAGAGACAGGTTATCATCAAGACACAAGCTTAAAAAAATAACGTCCCGCTAAATCCCTAGTAGCCCCCACATTAACTAAAAGATCCAAAGCACTAACGCCATGTCGCCTGTCACGCGCGCCGCCATGTTTGTGGATGCCCCGCCGACTACCGAGATGTTAAAAGGCTTTGCCAGTCCAGTAGTCGACAAGTGTGACGTCATACCCTTCACGTCACGAATCCATCATGGCCGCCTAACCAATCATAGAACAGGATTTCGACTATTGGTAGTACGATAGTTAAAATGAAACGCGCCCCTTGACTCCCGTCGTTGCGTGTTGTTTACCTTTGCGTAGTTCGCGTTATTGATGTTTTGTGGGGGGTTGGGGCAGTGATCGTTGGGTTTAGTTGTGATGTGTTCAAAGCTTTTGTGTATTATGCACGAAACCTTAAGAAGTGTGTTGCGCACGATGCTGCTTGTGTGTACGGTAGCCGCATGTAAACCTGTTGGTAATGTTAAAGGCTCGGGTTTTTCTATTTTAGTGATTCTAGTGCAAGGTGGCATTGGGCCGCTAGTTGCAGCGAGTTGCGTGTGCTCTGCCCCCTGTCTTGAGCTATGATTGTGTGCGTGTGTCTCGTCGTGTGTCCGTCGTAACTCATTCAGCACTTGGGTTGTCAACGAATGGAACGCTCTTCCACGCCTGGTCGTGTTGTCAACCTCATTTGAGCAGTTCAAGTCTAGGCTTGATGCGCACTGGGCTGACGTCATGTACGACGTCCCACACTGAATCTTCCCATAATTTGACACTGTTTGGTTATGGGACCGGGAGCTTGATGAGACCAGGACCTACAGGCCTAGTGGCCTTTTACAATTCCTGATCACCATAAGGTAATGTAAGGTGAGGTGTGTGTATGTGTGTGTTGTGTTCCTATGGTTGCATTTGCAAAGACATGTATGAACCTGGTGGTACAAAAAATATCATATTGTTATTATGTTGTAAAGCTGATGCATCTCTTAAATTAATCCTGACACCATTCAGATAACTAGCTTGTATTTTGTTATTTCTGTTGAAAGCATTTGGAGGCATGCAATATTAGGCTGACATTAATGACAGCTAGCAAACCTTATAATGCTGTGAATATTTCCGGATAGAGCTGAGTTGCAATCCTATCTGATTACATAACATGGTTGTTGGGGACAGAATCCCATGTTACATCAATTTTTCATCATCACATCATCTTCCGTAGGTATGCAGGTGCACATAAGCAACATTATGTGGAAAAGGAGAAGTGATTTTCATGGAAGTGAGCAGATATGGAGTTTTTACAGCTGTTCCATTACATGCTTTGAAGTCCAGGCTTAGTTACTCATTGCATGAGTCCAATTATATCAAAGGTACCATAAAGACTAGTTCTTCTCATGAAAGCGGATAATAACTAGATCACTCAAATTTATTTGCTTAGATCTGTCAGGGAACTGCAATGAAAGTGTCGGAGACAGGTGCCTAAGAGGGAGGCATGGAAAGAGGGGTGTCCGTGATCCTAACAGTGAGAAGAGCTGTCAGAAGACTGTGTTGCTGCTGTGTGCCATGATGCCGGCGCAGCCCAAATCATCTTGGACAAGCATCTGTGCCACAAGCTACCAATAGTAAGAACTGTGCATGTTGCATAAAAATGGGATGCTGTGACCAGGTCTTTCACCTATTCCCCATTGTTGGTGGTGTTAAGAATAAGGCTGTGCGTATACATCCCCCAAAACGTAGGGTGGTTACGCACTGGGCTTATACACCCTTCAAAACGGAGGGCGGTTACGCACCGGGCTTATACACCTTCCAAAAATATTTCAGGTGGTTGTACATGTCAAGTATATGCGTATTTGCAGCCTTCAAGGCAAGAAAGTGCAAAAGTGCAGAATCCCGTGCGAAAAGTCGGTTCTATACGTGAAAGACGTGAAACGATCACTGTGGTATTGTAGCGCAGCGAATTACGGCAGTGTTTCAACGTGTCCCCTTGCGCCGTTTGGAAATATAACCAACTCACGATTTGATTGCGACGCGCCAGGCAGTGTCTGTGGGATCGTGCCTGAAAGCCTGCTCAGCCAGTAAACTCCCATTGCTCTGCACTGAGCGTGTATGAAACAAGATTGGCGACGAGGATATTAATTTTGATGTGCTATTTTCGCCCTCAATTGCCACCATAAGTTCTAAATCCCGCCTGAAAAGGGATGGCGTTGTCGACGCTGGAATTGCCGCAGTTTGATGTGACTCACCCCGATCAGTGGCTTAAATGACTCCGTCGGCTGGAAACGTGTCTGGCGATGGGAGTAGAAGATCCTGCCCGGAAAAAGGCCACTTGCTCCATTTTGCTGGTCCTGCAGTGTTTGATCAGCAAGAAACGCCGCCACAGCCCCCGCCTGTCGCGGGAGAGGCCGCAGATGATGTCCACAAAAAGATATGTAGGCAGCTCGGGTCATATTATGTTTCACAGAAAAATATAGGTGAAGAGTGCGATGTGTTCCACCAAATGATGCAAATGGAAGGTGAGTCCACTGACGCATTTTTGGCTGACCTCAGGCACTTCGCCAGTACTTGTGATTTCACTGATTCCACCTGTGAACGCTGTAACTGTGAACGCTGTTCGAGAATGGACCAGAAGAGATGCCGCTCTCTTTGAAGTTCTGCACTTCACCCGGTACGGATGGCCTAAGTCGTCAGAGGTGTGGCCAGCTCTCTTGCCGTACCAGTGGCGAAATGCCGAACTGATTATCCAGGGCGGTTGCTTGCTCTGGGGATGCCTAGTGGTGATACCACCACGGTGCCGTCAAAAGGCACTCAAGCTCCTTCATGAAGGGCATCCAGGCATTTGCTCTATGAAATGTCGTGCCCGCAGTCAGGTCTGGTGACCTGGGATGGACTCAGACATGGCCGAGCTCACCAAACTCTGTGATGCATGCTAGCTACACCAGAAAGCAGCGCCTTAAGTGCCCTCGCAACCATGGAGGTACCCAGACGGAGCACCGTGGTAGGACAGAGCACATGTTAACTACGCTGGCCATGTAGAAGGCAAGATGCTCCTGATCGTGGTGGATGCGTATAGCAAATGGCCAGACGTCTGGATAATCAACGACGTCAGCACAAGAACGACCGTAGACCACCTACGGATTACCTTCGCCACACATGGTATCCCCCCAATGATCGTGAGCGACAACGGTGGCTGCTTCACCAGTAAAGAGTTTAGCGACCTCACAAGCGCCAACGGCATCCGCCATGTCTTCACCCCTCCGCTTCAGCCCTGCATCTAATGGTCAAGCGGAAAGCATGGTGAATCTCGTGAAACCCGGAATCAGGAAGCAACGCCTCGCTCCTCTGCTCACGAAGCTCCAGAGGTGGTTGTTCCAGTACAGGAATACGCCACATACAGCAACAGGGAAAGCCCGAGCAGAGATGCTGTTCAAACGCGCTCCAAGAACGCGCCTGACGCAGCTCCACCCGTCGGAGGAAAGGCGGCACCGCAGCAGCACGGCGAGTGGTTCTGTCAACAGATCGTTCCGTGCGGGAGACCCAGTCTTCATCACAGAAGTGACTAGTTCGGCCTGTAAGTGGCTCCCAAGAACCGTGCTGGATGTCTGCGGACCGTCTTGCCAGGTTCTGTGCCAAGATGGCCGTTAGTTCCGTTGTCACTTCGATCACATCCGTCCCCGTTATACGTCTGGAGAGGATGGACTGCTTGAAACAGGGAAGCACTTCGCACCTGGTAGCCTAGCCTCACAGCTGTTAGTGGCTGTGACCAGGAACGTGACGGCACCAGCAGCCGACTGATAGCAAGCCAGCGACGTTCGCTCCGTCCGCGGAAGATGTCAACCAGCCAGCGACGTCCGCTTCATCCGCGGAAGCTGAAACCAGCCTCCCGCAGCCCAGTGGCGCGCGAACGACGGAAACAGCCGATCGGGTTCCGCCGCCTGCTCGTCCGGGACGCAACCAGAGCACGCCAGAGCGCCTGGACTTATAGTATGTACCGTTAAGCAAGTTTTTGCCAAGCAGAGAGGAGTTTTGGTGCTGTAGCGCGGCGAATTACGGCAGTGTTTCAACATGTTCCCCTGCGCCGTTTGGAAATATAACCAACTCACGAGTGGATTGCGACGCG